TGCTCACTGCTCGCAGCCTGAGCAAACTTGCGGCCCCTGCGGGAGCTCTGTGCTCGGCCGGGGCCAGGTGTGAAGGGGATGGGGTTACTCCTCCGTCCTCGGAGAGATGCCCCTTGTATGTGTTCCCCTTGCACGTGCTTCCCTTGCAGGTCTGGGGAAGGCAGGACACCCCCACCGCGATGCTTTCTATGCCACATCCTTCATGGATAGACTCTGCTCACCCTTGGCTTGGGGCAGTGGGAGCAGGGGACAGAACAACCAGGGTTGGCAACACCCTGTTTGACTCTTTCAAGAGCAGTCTGGGAGGATGCAGTGGTTGTGGCTGGGGGGAAAGGCCAGGGGTTGGGCAAAGGTGCCCTGTGACAGGGGTCTGGGCTAGCTGGGGAGCACAGCCAGGGTGGATAACACCCTGTTTACAGCCACATTGGCCACCTGAGAGAGGGTTGACTCTTCCATGAGCAGCTTGGGAGGATGCGGCAGTCATGCCAAGAGGAAAGGCCAGGGGATGGGCAAGGGCGCCCTGTGGCAAGGCCAGCTGGGGAGCACAGCCAGGGTGGATAACACCCTGTTTATAGCCACATTGGCCACCTGAGACAGGACTGACTCTTCCACAAGCAGTTTGGGAGGATGCAGTGGTTGTACTGGGGGGGAAATGCTAAGGGCTGGACAAGGGTGCCCTGTGACAGGGGTCTGGGCTACCTGGGGAGCGCAGCCTGTGGACAACACCCTGTTTACAGGCACATATTGGCCACCTGAGACAGGACTGACTCTTCCAAGAGAAATTTGGGAGGATGCAGCAGTCATGCCAGGGGGGAAAGGCCAGGGGATGGGCAAGGGTGCCCTGTGACAGGGGTCTGGGCTAGCTGGGGAGCACAGACAGGGTGGACAACACCCTGTTTAAAGCCACACTGGCCACTTGAGACAGGGTTGACTCTTTCATGAGCAGTTTGGCAGGATGCAGCAGTTGTGCCAGGGGAAAAGGCCAGGGGATGGGCAAGGGTGCCCTGTGACAGGGGTCTGGGCTAGCTGAGGAGCACAGAGCATCCTTCCCACAGTCTCTGCATCCCTCCCGCTCGCAGCCGCCGGAATTGCCGAGCAGGGTGAGTACCTTGCTCAGCATTAAACACTCGGCATCTGTCAACAGACCCCCCACAGCGGCCACGACTGCTTCCCCATCTAAATGCTGAACAATCACTAATACCTGCCCGTGGTAACCACAGATGCTGACTCCCACCTACACCACGTGCACTGGGGTATTTGCTCCTTCATGTGCTCATGGCTGGGGACTGATGTGCGGCTGCAGCTCTCCCCTATCCCCAAACTCACCCCAGGATGGGGAACGTGGGGCAGGATGAACATCTCTGTTATCTCTCTGTCAGGTGAGACTGGATAAAGCTGTCCACAGCTCTGCTCAGTAGGGTGAGGGAGGGAGAGGGTGTCACACACCCTCCATCCCACCCTGCATCCCACTGCATTCCCTGGTGATGCTGGACCCCCATGCCAGGGCCCCCCATGGCACTACCAGCAGCTTCCTCTGTGTGCTGGGGTGAGAGGGGTTCCCTGCCCCACTCACAGCACGTGGTGGCAACAATCCCCATTCAGAAGGAATGAGGATTTTGCCTACAGGGACAAGTCTGCACCACTCATCACCAGGACCTGGGAACGGCACGGGGCCTCAGGTCCCTCCAGGTTTTTTCCTCTGCCTGCCTGAGAAGCTGTCTGTCCTGAGACAGGGCTGGAGAGATCCTGTCATCAGCAGGATCACAGGATAGGCTTGCAGTAGTGCTTAGGCAGGGACACAGCCATGGCTCAGGGGGATGCCAGACATTCCCAAGGCAGCTGCCAAAGTGATGCTGTCAGGCCAGGGGGGCACTACACTGTGAGCTTTGCAGTGGAGCTTGGAGTGAAGGTGTTTCCCAAATCACATCAAGCCAGCAGGAAGCCCCAAATGATGCCATGATCATAGCACCCCTGCAGCTGCAGGGAAGTGGATTTTCCACCAGCTATCACATTGCTGCTCTGACCCAGACATGTCCTCGTGCTGAAAGGGCTTGTCACAGCTCAGTGCTGATCCCTCAGCTCTTTGTCCCCCTGTGCCCGAGAGGAGCCAGGAACGCCAGAGGGACACTGTTCACACTGCCACCATCTTCTACTTGGCTCTTCTGAGACTCCAACTGCAGTGCTGCCTCTAGCTCTGTGGCCCCAATGTCAGAAGGATGTGGAGCTGCTGGAGCAAGTCCAGAGAAAGGCCACAAAGGTGCTCCAAGGGATGGAGCCCCTCTGCCCTGGAGCCAGCCTGGGAGAGCTGGGGGTGTCCAGCCTGGAGAAGAGAAGGTTCCAGGGAGACCTTAGAGCCCCTTCCAGTGCCTAAAGAGGCTCCAGGAAAGCTGGAGAGGGACTTGAGACAAGGGCCTGGAGGGACAGGAGACAGGGAATGGTTTCCCATTGCCCAAGGACAGGACTAGATGGGATATTGGGAAGGAATTCTTGGCTGTGAGGGTGGTGAGACACTGGCACAGGTTGCCCAGAGCAGCTGTGGCTGCCTGTAAATGTTCCAGCCAGGTTGGATGTGGCTTGGAGCAACCTGGTCTATTGGGTAGGGGTTGGAACGAGATAGTTTTTAAGGTCCCTTCCAACACTAACAGTTCTATGATTCTCTGATGTCAGTCCCAAACTCCGGAACAAAGCTCTGGGGAGGCAGAAGCAGCTTTGGCCTTGCAGTAGTGAGTGACTCTGCTCCCAGTGCCATGCTCCAAAGCAAGGGATTAACCCTGCAGACCTTCAACACAACTCAGCCACCCACACAGGCCCTTCAGTGCCCTGGTGCCATCCCAGCCCCACGTGTCCCAGGAATGTGGATCCTCCAGGTCTTGCAGAAGTACTGAGGACTAACAGATGTTGCACCTCCCCACAGAGTTTGGCTCTGCCATGACCCAGGATCCCTGAGAAGCTGCAGTGACTGGGCACTGTCACAGAGAGTAAAGCAGCTTTGCAGGAGCCAAGACACAGTGCCTCTGGAATAGCATGTCCCAAATCCCTCCCAGGGAATGGGAGGCCTCTCAGATACACTGTCAGCTCTGCAGAGAGAGGATGATGTGCACTGGGGGTGGCTGCAAGCAGTGGTGGGGGCAGCAGGTTCTGGCTCACAAGCACTGGGCACCAAAGGGCTGTGGGGGTAGGGACAGACATCCTGTTTTCCCTGGACACTTGGGTTTGTGGTCAGGATGTGCCTCGTGTGCATAACCAGTGTGTGTGCATGGAGGCTGAGCACTGTCAGGAGTGTTGGAGCTGGTACAGGATCAAACACTTGAGGAGGAGCCTGGGATGCTCCTGGCTGGGAATGCAAACCTCTTTCATACCAACATCCATGTGCAGCCACAGATATAGTCACAAAGCAGCTCAGGAACCCCAAACAGCCCAGGAATCAGATGCATGGAGAGCATCAGGCCAGGATCCCTGGCTCCTTTCCCCACCTGCATCCCTGCCCAGGCTCCCAGTTGGCTCTCCCTGGGCTGAGCTGGATAGGGCCTGACGTGCACCCACTGGCTGCTCCCCCATCTCATTGCCTGCTGCTGCCTCAGCTCCTCACTGAGCCTCTTGCCACATCCCTCAGATGTGGTCCCACACCTGGCTGTCACGGAGATGGGGAGGATATTTATAGATGCTGCAGAGAGAGGAGAGCACAGCTCAGACAGGGAGGATCAGCAAAGGAGGGAAGACAGGTTAATGGTTGGACTGGATGCTCTTAGAGGTCTCCTCCATCTCTGATGATTCTAGGATTCTCTGCCATGACTGAAGACCTCTCCTAATCCTTCAGCACTGCCAGGTGGAGGGTGCTGCTTCCCTCCTCATCATCACAGGCAGTTTTCTGGTTTCTTCCACTAATGCCAACAGAGAGGATCAGTCCTTGGCATCAGTTGTGACAAGGTCTAACGGTGGAAACCCCTGGCCAGCTCAGCAATCAACACTGGATTAACTCAGGTCAAGGCTGGGGAGGCCTGGCATGTCTCTCCTCCTTGTCATTATCAGAAATCCTGTGTATTAATATCCTTTCTATTTAAAAAAAAATCATCTTATCATAATTTTTCCTCATTGAAGGAGATGGTTTGGAATTGGAATGGAGACAAACATGAGCCAGGAGCACAGGCTGCAGAAGGGGAGAGTTTAAGAAAGGCCTTTTGGTAATATCCATCGTTCCCTTATCAGTGAGGATATTAAACGTATTGAAATGCTAAGCAGCTCTTTAATGGCTGTCTCTGATTTTCATTAAACAAGCAGGGGATGAGCAGGAGGAAAGGGGATGCAGCACTGTTCTCTCTCTAAGAAATTCTGATTGCTGGATATTAACAGCATTAATGTCCTTTTATCCAAGAGCTCCAGGGTTGCACTTGCCTTCTTGCCTATTTTCTGTCTTGCTGAAGTAGAACTAAGTCTCTGCGGCCTAAAGTGGGCACACAGTGGCTGTGGAGCTGGAAGAGACCAAGGCTTGGAGGGATGCAAACAAGAGTCTCTCAGGGACAATTAGTCTGGGACCAGCATCTCCCTGTCCCACCACGTCCCTACTGCTCAAAAGGATCTCATGCCTAGATGAGCCAAAAGGAGCCCAAAAAGAGCCCAAAAGGAGCTCATGACTAGATGGGTCAGTCTGGTCCTGAGAAGAAGTGGAGATGAGCAGTCAG